GGAGTGGCTGGTGGGTTTGAACCACCAGCCGTCTGGTTAGCAGGCAAGTGTCTTAGCCACTATGCTACCAGAGCTCCCTGCATGTAACTTAGTGTGATATTAATATTGCTCTGTTTATCTTTTGTTGATATCTTTGCTTATCCTTGGGCTAGACCACTTTGATTTAGATTTTTTTTTGGCAAGTGGCCTATGTTAGATTAAAAAAAAAAAAAAAAAACCAACAAACCTGGGAGTCTCCCCAGCCCCCTAAGGTATTATGGTAAGCATTTATTACTTTGTATAGCATTCATGTTCTGTGCACAAAATAATAAATACTTACAATATCTTAGGCGGTTGGGGGACATCCACATCTGGCCTTCTCCTTCCTCTCTTTCTACCTCATCTCACACAGTGAGGGCTTCTGTGTACTTACTTACATGACCCTGCCTCATTGGGTCTAGGGATGGGCTCATGAGCCAAGCTGGGCCAGTCAGAGCACTTTCCTGGTATCTGAACCTGAGATGAGAGTCAGTCTCAATCTCTCTATGGTAATGTCGGGGAACAGGAGCCTGAATACTAGTGGCAGACATATGCCCAACTCTGAGGAAGAAGCCAGTGTGATAAAATAAAGCCAATACATAAGCCAAAAGTGAAAGGATGGTGCATTGATTTTCTATTGCTGCTGTAATAAATTACCACAAACTTAGTGGTTTAGACAAAACAAAGTTATTATCTTGCAGTTCAGGAAGTTAGAAGTCCCAAATTAGCCTCAGTGGGATAAAAACAAAGTGTCAACAGGGCTGTGCTTCTTTCTCGTGACTCTGGATGGAGAATCTGTTTCCTTGCCTTTTCCAGCTGCTAGAGACTGCTCACCTTCTTTGGTTCTTGGCCTCCTTCCTTCCTCCTCAAAGCCAGCAACATTGCATTTCTTGTGATTTTCTTCCACAGACACATTTCTCTTTGAACTCTCTTTTTTTTTTCTCTCTCTTTTCCACTTTTAAGTATTTTTAAGATTACATTGGTCCCACCCAGATAATCCAAGATAACTGTCAGCAGATGAGCAACTTAATTCCAGCTACAACTTTAATTTCCCTTTGCCATTGTTTCTGTTTGTTTTGTTTGGACTACTAAAACAATTAACAAATCTGTCCTGGAAGAAATACAGTC